AACCATAACAGGGTTGGACCTTGGAGGTCTTCTGGTCCAATCTTCTGCTCAAACAAATGGTTGTCCAGTCTCTTCTTAAAAACCTCCAGGCATGGAGAATTCGCAGCTTCTGGAGGCAAGTTGTTCCACTGACTAATTGCTCTAAAATGTCAGGAAGTTTCTGCTTAGTTCCAGGTTGCTCCTGTCCTTGATTAGTTTCCACCCATCATTGCTTCTTGTCCTGCCTTCAGGTGCTTTGGAGAATAAGTTGACTCCTGTTGTGGTTCACCGGCAGCCCATTGAAGATGGCAGTGGAATCGGACAATGGGGAAGAATGGAAGATCAGTCCAGGAGTCTGGGAGGACTCAGATGAGGGTCCTGCATCCGATGCAGAGATGGGGCCAGGACCATCTGGGAGTTGTGTGCCGACTCTGGAGCCTCCGGAGTCTGGCAGCAGTGAGGTAGAAGAACAAGGGGAGCCTGTTCCCAGTGCGTGTGTGCACAGAGCTGCTAGAAGGCAAGAGCAGCTGAGACAAAAGGGGTGACTCAGGAGTAAAGCTGGGAGATGATTGCCCCTCCCATAAGGGATAAAAGAAGTGCAAAGGTAGAGAAACCTTTGCAGGAAGCCAAGTCGTTTGCTCTGTTTGGATTAAAGCTTAAAGCTCTGTGTGGACTTTGTACTTAGGTTGTATTTTTAAAGTTCATTTGGCACTCCAGTTGTTGGCAGCAATTCAAAGGAGAAAAAGGTGGGTGCTTATCTCGAGGGACTGTTTGGGACTCATTAGCAGCTGGGAATGAACATAATTCCCAGCATTGAAATAAAACAAGAGTTGTTTTAATTAAGTGTGTGCTTAATTACGGTCTCAAGAAGCCTTGGTCAGAACAACTCCCTCTTCTTCGTGGCAGCCCCTGAGATATTGGAACACGGCTATTATGTCACCCCTGGTCCTTCTTCTCATTAAACTAGACATACCCAATTCCTGCGGCCGTTCTTCAGATGTTTTAGCCTCCAGTCCCCTCCAACCGTGATCTGGATAATTGAGAATCTCCATGGAGGAGATGACATAGAGGAGCCCTCAAGATACCCAACGCAACCATCTCCCTCCTGTGAAGGCAATGAGCCCGCTAGCTTCGGAGGGCAGCTGGAGTTCTAGAACCTGGTCATGTCAAAGGTCTCATTATGGAATGGGGTTCTGGAACCCCTGGGCCAATCACACCCTTTTTTTTTTCCAAGAGGAGGGTTTACGTGGAAGGCCTGGCAGCTCTTCCTGCTGCCTCCCCCACTTTGAAAGAATGGATGATGCCTCTGCTTCGGCGGGGTACTCCTATCGTCACATGGAGCGGAAGATGAGTGCGATGGCTTGTACAGTCTTCAACGAACTTCGGCTGGAAGGGAAGCTGTGTGACGTCATCATCAAAGTCAACGGGTGTGAATTCAATGCTCATAAGAACATTCTCTGTAGCTGCAGCTCTTATTTTCGGTCAGTGCGCTCCCCATCTCTTGAAAGGGATGTAAGCAACCAGCCAAGATCTCCCATCAGTTGGATGGTGGATTCTCTCATCCGGCAGCATAATCACTGTAGCCTCCTTGAGTGTCCTCTGGTCAGACAGGCAGCACCTAAGGTTTAATAGTAAATAAATAAACCTTTAGTCCCTGGTTGTAGGAATTGAGAAATTCTAATCGTCTTTGTGTGCTTTCCAAAAGGCAATTGAACTTTCTTGGTCCTTTTTTTCCCCCCTTTGAAAATGTTTTGCTTCTCATCCAAGAAGCTTCTTGAGTTCTAAGTTTCTTGGAAGAAAAGTGATACAAAGGAAAAAAACAACAACGAAGTCCAATTGTCTTTTGGAAAAAGGACCTTTGGGACAATCCTGGCCTGAACGATTGAGAATCTCCCTAGCTATCTTTCTGGGGGAAGAGTTTTTAGCTTCCTTTGAAATAACTTGTCTTTTTAAATTAAAAAAAAAAAAAAAAAAAAACTACAGATAGCAAAGCATTTTTTTTTTTAAAGGCAGGGGTGGGTTTCTACCGGTTCTGTCCACCTCAATAGAACCGGTACCTCTGAAGAGCAGCAGACATAGAACCGGTTCTACGTCTGCTGATGGTTTTGCTCACCCGCCCACCTGGGCTCTTACCTGATCTTTATTTCCTGATTTTTTTCAACTTCAGCTGCCGAACGAGGCACAGCTGCAGTTAAAAAAAATAGGAAAAGAGGGCTGTTCCAAAAGCTGCTTCTCCGAAGGCAGCATGCTGATGACGATTTACAGGCCCATAGCTCACAGCGGGCAGGGAAGCTTGTAAATCCCGAACTGGTAGTTAACCCTGTCACATCCCACCCCTGAGAAAAGGGTATTGTTTGCCTTCTCGGATTAAATGACATTCAAAAATAAGGGAGTTTTTAACCCTCCAACATTTGTACAGCTTGTGGCTCAGGAGGTGTTCAATACTGCTGTGAAAAACAACAATGCATGAGATAGGATCACAGAAAGCAAGAATGGGAATTTAGAGCAGTTTTTTCCACATCTGGCACCCTCCAGATACATTGCAATTAGAAAACAATTGGAGAACATCAAATTCGGGAAAGCTGCTATATAAAAGGCAGATGGTATTAAGTATCTTCCTTTTTTAGGAAACAATGGATCCCATTGAAATGATTTTAGGATATTGTGAGATCTGGTCGGAAATGTGTTTGCTTTCATCCCTCTACAGAATAACAGAGTTGGAAGGGACCTTGGAGGTCTTCTAGTCCAACCCCATGCTCAAGCAGAAAACCTATACCATCTCAGACAAATGGTTGTCCAATCAATTCTCAAAAACCTTCAGTGTTGCAGTACCCACAATTGAACTGAATTGAATTGAATGATGAATTTTTCTAACTCAGGAAGTTTCTCCTTAGTTCCACGTTGCTTCTCTCCTAGCTTAGTTTCCATCCATTGCTTCTTGGCCTGCCTTCAGGTGCTTTGGGAGAATAGGTTGACGACTCTCTCTTCTAGAAAAGAATATGCCTGGCACCCCAAAAATTACTTAAATGGGGTATAGCGATTAAGGCATTACAGCAGAAGGAGACCATCTATTTCCAGCTGAGAAATCATCTATGGTGCTTAATAAGGTGACCAACCGTCCTCCTTTAGGGAGGACAGTCCTTCTTTTGTAAGTTCTGTCCTCTCTCGAAACATGTCCTCCTACGTGTCCTCCTTTTTGATATTTGAAGACTAATCTGTAAATCTCCGTATTTGATCGATGCCGATCCGATCCGTTGTGTGTGATGTGACGTATTTGTATTTGACATGACGATTCGTCAAGGCTCAGTACAGTGTGGTGAGATGCATGCGCTCCACACAGAAGAATTGTTTGGAGAGAGTGCACAAGAGTGCGCCACGGAAAAGTGGCTTTGTTTTTTTTCTTCAATTTATTTGTGTCCTCCTTTTCATTGTAAAAAAGTTGGTCACTTTATGCTTAAAAGTTTGCAAACCCTTTTGAATGTTCAATACTTCCTTATAAATGCAATCTAAAAGGTGACTTGCTTTCCAGGTAAGTCCTAAAAAGATAAAACTCCAGTTAAAATTATGAATCACAAACATTCTACTTCTTTGTTGATTTATTAAGGAACTTATGTGTGTGTGTGTGTGCATTTATATATTTGGTTTCTATAGCTGCCTGTCTCATGTCTCTGGGAGGCACATATAAGACACCAACACAATTAAAACAGTATGAAATAAATACACATGGCACCAAGTTAAACCATTATTACAGATGTTAATACAGCCAGGAAAGAAGCCCTTAATTGACTTTGGACCCCAAATGATCCAAAGTTAAATCTTTGTGCGTCAAGCTCTTTAATCAAATAGGAGGGACAGAGAGAAAGACTTAACATCTAAAGCAAATTTTATGAACCATTTTTGAATCCTGCACCTCCTTAGGAACAAGCAGGCCACTAATAGCTTTCAATATCTCAAAGGTATAAGAGATATGGTAGGGAAAGAGGCTAACCAGTTTGAGAGCCAGTGGTTAAGTCAATGAGCTGAGAGTTCTAGTTCCACCTTGGGCATGAAAACCAGCTGGCTAACTTTGGGCCCTTCATTCTCTCAGGCCAACCTGCCTCACAGGGTGGTTGTTGTGGAGAAAAATAGGAGGAGGAAAGAGTGTTGGATATGTTTGCTGCCTTGTGTTATCCATAAAAATAATAAAGGTTGGATACGTACAATAACTATATGGTTATATCGTTATGTTTATGCTTTTATATTTATTGTTATGGCTATATATTTTTATGGTTTTTTATATATATATTTCTTTTGAAAGCGAGCATCAGAATTTCATTTTTTTAAAAAATGTGTGCAGTGTCTTCACAGAAAAAAAGTGACTAGAATCTTATTTTAAACAAATAAACAAGCAAGCAAGCTGGAGGAATTTCATAAAGCCAGGAGACTCCAAACTTAGCCACTTTAAGACTTCTGGACTTCAACTCCCAGAATTCCCCAGCCAGGAAAAGTTAAAAGTTACCAAGTTTGGAGACCCCTGTATTAAGCTAACACTGTCCCTTGGAAGCCCAGTGTCAGGATTCCGGAAATTACCCCCATTTAAATCATGAGTCGTGAGCCAAACTTCTAAAACTTCAAAAGGATTTATTGGGAGTTAACATGCCGGCACTGCCTGGGTGTAGCCGACTCTGAGACACAACATTCATTTTCACCCTTGACTCTGGTTTTCCTCCACCCCCTGGGTGTTTCATAATTCATATTCTCCAATGGGACACATCCATAGCCAAGAGTCTTCAATCATGCTCTCCAGTTAGAATTTTGCGCGGCAGAAACTCACCTAGTTACTATCTTTGAAAACTATGGAATGCAGTTTTGGTTTGCAAGCAGCTGCACTGCTCCCCACTCTCTTTCTGTTGGCAACTCTAAAAAGACCATAGAACTATTTTATGAGTTGACATCCAGCACCATGACTGTTGTGCTTCTCTTTCAGAGCTCTGTTTACCAGTAGTTGGAACAACTCCGAAAAAAAGATATATAATATTCCTGGTATTACCCCAGATATGATGAAACTCATTATCGAATACGCCTACACAAGGACAGTGCCCATTACAGTGGACAATGTGGAAAGGCTCCTCGTAGCCGCCGACCAGTTTAATGTGATGGGTATCGTCAGAGCCTGCTCCGATTTTATGAAGTCTCAGCTCTGCTTGGAGAATTGTATTGGCATCTGCAAATTCACCGAGTATTACTACTGCCCGGAGCTACGACAGGCCGCCTACATGTTCATCCTGCACAACTTTGAGGAAATGGTAAAAGCGTCTACTGAATTCCTGGAGCTCTCGGTCAATGAGTTTAAGGACATCATTGAAAAGGACGAACTCAACGTGAAGCAGGAAGACGCGGTCTTCGAGGCCATTCTCAAGTGGATCGCCCAGGAACCTCCCAACCGGAAACAGCACATGGCGGTCTTGCTACCGAAGGTGAGTCTTTCTCAGCTGCCATCTCATGCCTCACTATTATGCGGCGATGGTTTGCCATGAAACTGTAGGGAGGGGGAATGAAGGGAGTGGGATGCTTGGGGAAAACGAAAGTAGAAGCTGCCTTGAGGGAGCTGCATACATACCAACCTGGGCACAGACTGACCGCTATGAAAACATCTTGCAGAAACTTGATTGGTGAGCAGTGATAGGCAGACAGAGAGAATAGAATAGAATAGAATAGAATAGAATAGAATAGAATAGAATAGAATAGAATAGAATTGAATAGAATAGAATAGAATAGAATAGAATAGAATAGAATAGAATAGAATAGAATAGAATAGAATAGAATAATAGAATATAAGAATAGAATAGAATCTTTATTGCTACTTTAAATGTACACTAATCAGCATACAATAGAATGGAATGGAATGGAATAGAATAGAATAGAATAGGCATAAGAATAGAATAGAATCTTTATTGCTACTTTAAATGTACACTAATCAGCATACAATAGAATGGAATGGAATGGAATGGAATGGAATAGAATAGAATAGAATAGAATAGAATAGAATAGAATAGAATAGAATAGAATAGAATAGAATAGAAT